ATGCCCATTAGACTTCCAATAAACCCTAATCAGTGTGCGAAATGAGCCCCCAGCGTGTGCAGCTGCCGCCTTGGGTGTGGACTATCAGGAAATGCTAACAGTGGCTTACTGGATAAGGACCCCTCAGTCATTTCCTAGCTCTGTACCCTTGTTATCCTGCAGCTCCGAATGCTGTCTCACATTCATGTTCTGTGCAGATGGGAACAGGACGGAGTTAACAGCAGATAACTTCATATCTTTGTTCATTTATACAGCACTCACCTGTACAGCTTGACTCGCACTCCAAAGGGCATACGAGTGGGGGCCAGAGCCTGTAGCGATGCAAGATCTAATTTGCACGATTTGAAATGTAGCTTTTGGATTCTACACCATTCAGTATGTTGAAGGGCTTTCCATACCAACTGAAATCAGCAAAGACCAGAGAAACAAATGATCTGTGCAATTGCTTTAGCCTAGCTGCCCTTTCTTGCTCACCAGAGTCTCTCTCTAATGTCAGACTTGATTAAATCAGGCAGCTGGCTCTAAGAGGCAGCCAGACCCTCATTAAGGGAGTCCCTCACCACATCCTGTTTTTGTTTGTGCTCATCTGCTTTCCTAGAATGGGGAAGCATAGCATGAATATTTTAAAGCATTTCATTGTGACTTGGATCCTTCCGAGCACAACTCTGCTTTAAAAATGCCACTCAGGCAGGAATGAGATGGAGGTGGGGGGTGTTGTTTTGGGGGGTTTGCTGCTGCAGAAAAAAACCACGTGTTAGCTCAGCCTCCTCTGTTTCAGCTGTAGTGGATGTTCATCAGTTTCTAAATGGATGTTAGGGTGGAGAAGAAGCCTGTTACAACAGAGAGATTTACTGATTTCTGTGCGGAGATACTGGCTCCTAGTGGCATTGTGTTAATTAAAGATACAAATATTAGAATATTTATAGGAATGTTACATTCCCTCTCTCTGCCCCATCCCCCAACAAGCAGCAATGAGAGCTGCTTTTTGGATACCAGCCTTCAGAGGGGTTGGCTGCAACCTGTCCCTGGGAATGGAAGTGGTGCCCCAGATGCATATGGAGAAATTGAGACACACACACAGACAAAGAAATTGACCAGAGCTACTTTAAATGTCACAGAAGCCTTGGCAGAGTCACATCCCTGCCACTGGAATGCTGGATTCAAGCTACACCAAACATTTTCATGTCAATACAAATTGATAAAATTTGTCTTTTTGATCGTTACACAAAAAGACGTGGGTGGGGAGCCCTTACTGCTGTGAATGACAGCAGAGGGAGGCAAAGGTCCACAGGTAAATTCAGCTTGCTGCATTCATGCTGCCATGAATTTCACTCACATGGGAAGGATTCTGTACCTTTTGTAGGGGCAAAACTCCCACTTGATTTTACTTTGGCCTGTAATCACTGGTGCTCAGGCCCCATATAGGACAGAGCTTAGAGTCAACAGGAATGAGGGCCAAGCAATCAAGACACATGCTCAGAGATTATGTGGAAATAGCTTTTTGTAAGTGAAGAATCTTCTGCTGTTTTTACATTACTCTTTAATTTTGAAAAGCCAGAGGAGCAGGATGAGAAGTTGACTCCTAAAATGGAAACTCAGACTGAGAGCATGGGCTAGAATAACCTTTGGCCCCAGTCTTGTAGCCCATTCACAGCCAAAACTCCCCTGACTTCAAAAGGAGTCATGTGGTGAAAAGGATGCAGGACCAAGCACTACTCTCCAAAGAGCCCTTTGCTTTTGTGTGAAAGAGCCAAAGGCAGAAAGCAATAATCCTCTGACCTTTATAACCTCTTTTACTCAAAGATCTCAAAGCACTTGTCTCACCAATTTCTTCGCGCAACTCACTCTCCCTTGTGTTAGCTGTTTGCAGCAGCTGTCTCATTAGCACTGTTTTCTGCCATTAACAAGCGCTCCTCCCGTAATTTCTTGTGAAGTTCATCAAAAGACACAGTAGCTGTTCTGTGAGATGACCAAAAGCAAGGGAGAAGGCAGTGAAAGTAGGAGTGGGAATAAATGCAGAAATTAGAAGGCCAGTGAAGATTTTTCATGTCTGTCTCCTCACAGCCTGTGTCTGGGCAAGTGGGTGGGAGTAACGTTAATTGGTCAAGGGTAAAACTTGGCCTTCAAGCAAAGCCGCAGCAAAAGGGTGATGGCACTGTGCTGAAGCTTGGAGGTGACGGCATCTCCTAAAGCCCCTTACACTCATCTACAGGCATTCAGTGTTTCCCCTGCATCTGTCAACACAGCCCTGCACGTGACCTGCCCTATGAATTGAGAATCCCGAGCTGGGATACTTCCCCTTGCACTACCTTGGAGAGCTGGCAGGTTGTTCCGCCTCTCAAGGCTTGCCTGTGTGAAGTCCACAAAGAATCCAAAACCCAACTGGTCCAATTCAAAACGAGGGTTACTCAGAATAGAGAGAGATCAGATGACAACAAAATAAATGGCTAGTGACCTATCTAGGCAGACACTGCCAAAGCTTAGGCAGGTGGGTCCATTTGGGTCTAGGTACAGAGACTAGGAAATAGCTTGTTTCTAGAGAGCACTTCACCACTTCCTTCTGACGCATTCAGCCAGCATGGGGACAACTTCAATTCCCCGCTTTCCCCCTTCCCTCTAGGAGGTTCCTAACACCCCCACGGCACGCAGCCCTTTCATCTTCTCCCTTAAGCTTACGTTATTGCTGCCACTCCAAGCCACTGAGGTATCACTAAGGAGACTGAGAGACCTGGGGGTGACCCATGTGACCCCGTTGTTCACATGCTCTGACAACCAGCCCTAGTGAGCAGTATCAACCCCCACCCTGGGACTCGCATGGGGATGGGAATGCTCCCTGTGCTGGCTCCTGGCTGCTTGCACTCCCTCGTTCCCTTCCCTCACAACACAGAAAAGCAGCATTTCTGCCTTGCATGCTTGCAAGAGTGGGGAGCAGGAATTGGATTTGCCTTAGCATTTTAAACTGGGGCACCCAAGCTGCACTGGCTGCCTGTCAGGTACCCAAGGGCTGCACTCAGTTTGCAATAAAGGGACAAACCGCAGCTGCCCTCATCCTTATTATACAAGTAAATCTAGCCTATCATCCCACTATTGCAGGCAAAATAAAATCTACTGGTGGTTAAACGGAGGGAGGATCAGTGAATGTTTAGTTATTAACGTCATGTGGGGCGAGTTGCTGAGCCTGTTGTGACACGAACTCAAAAAGGCTTGCTACAGCTAGCATGCATGTGATTTATTTAGTCCAGAGATTGAGTAAAAGCTTTGGCTGGAAATCTGAGCCCAAACAGTTGGCAAGTGTTTTTGAGATTTTTTTTCTATTGAGAAAATATCTGTAGCACAGTACATGCTCTGGTTCAGTCAGAGCTATTTCAGTACTGTAGGGCATTCCTGGAGTGGGTTCCTCGAATGTGGGACTTGCTCCCACCTTGCTCTGCCTGATCTTGGATCTGATAGCCTTCCGGGCATACTGCACTCCTCACTGGGCTGTGGGGGATGGCATTGGCTAGGAGGCTGGAGGGTTTTTCTGGGTAGTTATTTATGTAAGGGCAGTCCTTGATATTGTATTGTGTATTTTAAGATATGGGGAAGGCCCCTAGGGCCAGATTTACACAGTCCTTTATTTGCCAAAAGCTGCAGCTTGGTTTCTAGTGGGATTTACAGAAGCACCTGAGCAGATGCAGTGCCTAACTCCCACTGCCCGTAGAACGCTGAATGAACGCCTGTAGAGGTCTGTACACATTGGAAGAAACCAGTATAAAAGAAAAAAGGCAAATTCTGTCAGGGGGCCGCACAGATGACCACTGAAAGATCACACTCAGTGGGGAGTCATAGGGCAGATGTATTGCACCCAAGAACCCATGGAGAGCCCATTTTGCAGGCTCTCCATAAAATGAGCTATGGAGGGATACTCCAAGGCGAAGTATGGCACACTGTACGTTTTTGATGCAAGCTCCAGATTTGGCAATAGCAACCATGTGCTAACAACCACACACGCACATCAGCAATAACCCGTATGAGGCTGTTACTGACCAGAGTGTCACCACATATAATTGCTGTGAATACAAAGAGCTATTTGCTGTATAAAAATATTCTACAGAAGAAAATAATGTCATCGTCGTCACTGTCCCTTGACCAGAGAGAGGCTCTATTGCTAATCTGATAAATGATTGATTAATCTTGTAAGGGATACGAGAGCTGCTTCTTAGATTTTAGAAAGCTCTTTTTGACTGTTCTGTTGGATCAGTTTTCATCCCTGCTGAGACGTATTGGGAAACTTCGATCACTAACACATCTGCAGAGGCCAGTGAAGTCTGCAATGAGAACAACTGAGATGTGTTTTAAAATCCCAAAGCCAAGAATGTGAATTGGATTTTAGATCTTGCATAACACTAAAATGAGGGAAATCCATCCAGGGCCAACCTGAGTTCACAACTAAAACTTCTAACAATCTAGTCACCTTTTAGCTCAGATGAGATCTTGTACCAGCATGTTATTATGAATTGGACTTCTTTCTTTGAACCAATACTTACCACTGTTGTGTACAAACCTACTGTTATAATTCACTGCTTGGTTACAAGCTATTGGGATCATAAATGCAGACTATTGAAGCTGAGGTTATAGAAAACATTAGTTGTGCTTCTACAAAAGAGTCCCTCTTTTTCCTGCCTCCTCTGTTTTTTGTGATGTACTTAATCTGGGACCCATGTCATTTTAGAAAGGTCAGTAACTCACATTTTGGCCTTGGAATAGCTCTGGGGTAACATTTTCAAAAGTGCTTAAGTGGCTAAGGAGCCTACGGCTCATTTTTAAAAGTGACGTTGGCACTTTTAAAAAGGTATTTAGATGCCTAAAGATGCAGATAAGCCCCTTGTAGGATTTTCAAAAGCATCTACATGCCTACTTCTCAAGAGCAAGTGAAAGCCGTGAGGGTGAGGAAAGTTGCTTACTCCAGGACAATACATCGACACCACTTAGCACAGCTGCAAGTAAACACAGAAAGCCAATCTCCTTATGAAGGTTTATTTATAAAAGCCAAGATGTTTGGGAGTCACGGCTACATATGCTGGTGATTCCCATTCCCTTGTGTAAAATGCACCACACTGTGCACATGCAACCATTTATATTCCAGATCAAACATTTTCTTCTAGTGTTTAACACAGACACTTTACGCTCCTTAGTGCACTCTACAACACGCACAAATGTTAGGATATGCACATGTTGAGTTTTTCCATGAAAAATGTTATAAAAAATACAAACAAAACCCAAACTATCAACACGAGAAGCAATGGGCAAATGAGCCCAGCTCCTCCCAGTTGTTCGTTTTGTTTAAAAAGGGAGGCCTCTATTTATACCCTGGTGTCAGAGCTAATTGATTGGGAACATGACATCTGCTTGGAATTGTACTTAAAAATGACCTAGTCAAATATTAATCCCCTTAATACTAGTAGAAGGGATTTTAATTGACCAACTGCTTCTGTATAAGGTTAATATTTAGATCACTGATAACTGCACTAGATTAGCTATAACTATAGTGAATACACCCTTATATTTTCATACATTGTTTGTCACTATGTTCACTATAAAATGTTTAAAGCTAGATCATGGCCAACCCTCATGTGGATGTGCAAGAAGGGGAGGTCCCCCCATAACTCCTAGGCAGTCACTTGTCGCCACTGCAGTCCCTGTGCTTTCCTGAGGCCAAGGACTGTTCCCTACAAGTGCCCCCTGGGGAGCAAACCCTCCAAAAGAGATAAAAAGGGGCAGAAGGGAGGCTCAGCTATGACCCCAAGCCAGCTGGAAGGCCAGAGAAGGGATGTCATGCACTGGATGCACCCCTTGTGTATACCGGAAAGCTCTAGTATACACAATGCCTCCCCAATCCCTTTCCTACCCCACACCCAGAGTTGTGTGTCCCGAGGCCACCCCCAGCCTGCGCACCATCTGGCTCTTAATAAGAGAAACTCTCAAGTGCCTGAAGAGTCTTACTCTTAGAAAACAGCTATATGTTCACGGTGCCGGCAGTCATGGACGATGGAAGGAAGGCGAGACTACCCGCACCTCCCAAAGCCTGTTTCCTTGTTTAGCCTACCAAGAGGAATGTTACAAACTGTTGATGACATGAATGTGGCCACCTCACAATGGCTCTGCTCAAATAGACACAGGGGGACATGCTGCCATACATCACAAAGCAATCCTACCAATCCACCCATTCTAGAACTGCTGCATGCAAATACAGTGTCATTTACACTTTGAGTGGAGGATCAGACTATAAATACATCACGCTTGTTTTTGTTCTGAACGCACTAGATCCCATTAAAAAACATCACTGGTTTAAAAAAAATCATTAAAAGGTAAAAAAAACCAGCCAGATGTACTTGGGAACCCCCTGATCCTTCCTCCCCCCCACCCAAAAAAAAACAAAACCAAAAACCAAAAACAAACCTGAAGAAGGGAATAGGGAAAAGGTCAGAGTCAGAACAGATTTCTTTTCAGGCTGAAGATTGTCCATATCAGAAATCTTTGGCTTTGGGGATAAGGATAATTGAATCGAATTTCTTCCCCCCATCTGGGGCCTGATGTTGCAAACCCACAATCATGCGAGAGCAGTTGTGACGCATGCAAGTAGCCCCATTGGCTTTAAGGACTGCTCGCATAATGGTATGCACGATATTGGACCATGTGAAGGAATTCAGTCTCCCTTTTTTTTTTAAGACTATGTGGGTCAATGTCCATTCTTACAGCAAATTCTGCCTGGGGATGGGGAAAACTCTCTGGTAATTCCACAGGGTCCTCTCATAGAATTTCTTTCCCATTCTTCCCTTGAGGAGGAGGAGGAGTTTCTAACCCTGTACTGGAGGAAGGAGGGGGCCTTGAAAGCCCCCCAGAACCCTAAACCGCTCAGGGAAGATGGTTGTACTGCAGATACCACTCTTAGGCCCTGATTTAGCAAAGCACTTATGCTTATCTGGAAGTCACTAGGACTTAAGCATGTGCTTAAGTGCTTTATACAACCAGGGCCATAGTGCAGAGACCCAGCCCTCCCCCACGGCACCCCTCAGGAGCAGTGCTCCCCCACTGCACCCCTCAGGAGCATTGGTCCCACCCGTTTTACAAGAGGCATAGATGGCACAGAGGGTGAATTTATACTGTCTGAAGCAGCACTGACTCGCAGACAGATTTCTGTTCAGGAATCTGCCAGGTTCATGGGGGAATATCCCACACACCCTGACTGCTCCCCTGACTCCATCCCCTCCTGATTTACAGATCCCAGCCCAATGTCTTCTGCAGGCTCAAAGATGCCAGAGCACCATTCGTTCCCTTTCCATATTCCCCTGGCAAGAACTCTTTCGCCAGCACAAATGATGGGGGGAGAGGCGGGTGTAGGCCGGAAAGAGGGCAGAGAGGCTAATGTTTCAAGGGTACCACAGGTTGTTGGCCCCAGTTAAACACCTTTAGCTTTCTGAAAGAATTAGTATAGCTAAACCCGTTAATAGCATACTTCCTTAATTCTTGCATTACATTTAAATATGATCAAAGTGAACCCCTGGCTATTTAACAGACTCAGATGTTGGCAAAGACAATATATATATATATATATTATGGCTAGAACTTAATGTCTGATACTATAAAACTATACACAATACAATGAAATTATATTGCAAACTAAACGCTTCACACAATCTTTTCACAATACCCCACTGACTTGTTCTAATGCTGTTGCATGTTGGGTTTAATTGCTGCTGTACAAGTATCTTCCATGAGTTCAGCACAATGTACAGAATTCTGGGTTAACGCCCTGCTTCAGCAAAGCATTGGAACACGTGCTTACGTCCGCCCTTATTCAGCAAAGTGCTTAAGTACTATTGCTAAAGTCCCATTGGAATCAGGCTTAAGCACTTTGCTTCACAGAGAATTAGTGTTGATTCAGATGCTAAAAATGTAAACTAGGTGATTGGTACATGTTACTCTTCTCCGTCCATCTCCAGGCAGAACTGCTGCGGCCCTGGATTAAATATTTTACTCACTCTTTATCTAACAGGTCCTGAGAACAATTCTGTCATTTATACTAATAAATGCACATAAATTAAAAAACAGTCAACAGTGTGGTTCAAACCAAAAAGAGCTCTGCTCAGTATACTGAGATTAATGAGATTTATAGCTGTAAACCTGGCATTCTGTTTTTTTTTTAAAAATCCTCAATGGATTAGAAAAACAACAAAGTGACATTGTTAAGGTATTCTAGGTTTGGCAACACTAATATTTTTACTTTACATCATGGACTAAGAATACATGTCAGTGTAATATTGATGACGTGATCGACCTAACTTAAAACACATGTAAACAATAGGCTTTGACAATACTTACAAATGCATCCCACAGCTGGATTCACACAGGCAGAACCCTGCTGCAGTCAGCGGGGATCTGTACAAGTGCAGAGTTCCAACTGGCACAGATCTGAATGCAGAATTGGGGCCTAAGGGTGTGATCCCGCAAACCGGTATTGGCATAAGTAGTCTCTACTCACCTGAGCAGCCCATTGACTTCAATGGAATTACACAAGTGAGGATTATTCACATGCTTAAGGCATTGCAGGACAGGGTGGTAAAGGCCCATTTTATATAAAGAATCCTTTATCAATGTAAAAGATTCAATGTGATTCCAGCTGATGCTCAGTAAGACATATTTTACCCCTAAGTTGTGGATATCAGCGTCATATATTCCAATAACACAATCATATTTTCATAAACATTAAATATGAAAGTAAACAATTTTAATGATTAAAGGGGACATTAACGGAAATGAGCAACCTTCATTACAATGATTTTCCAGTGTCTTCCCTTCTGACCAGTGGATGTTGTGAGATTGCTGTTGTGTCGGCTGCCTTCAATATGTCGGCTGCCTTCAATACCTCTTCGCATCCTCCAAGGCATGGCTACTGCCGGTCTGCTTCCACTCGCTTTTTACGAACTATGCCAGTAAAATCAAAAACCATCTCTCAGAGTTAACTTACTAAGCACCCAAGCACATGTCTCAATGTGACACTATTTGGGACTAGAAAACTGGGTTATTCGTACTTCCCTTCTCAAGGACCCAGTTAAGGAAAGTGCATAGTACCCTTAACTCTCACTCAAATCAATGGGAAGGTTGGCCCATCAGTATCTTCTAGGAGGTACAGGATTGTGTCCAGAGATTTCACAGATTCATAGTTTAAGGGTAAAAGGGGCCTACATCATCTAGTCTGAGTAACCATGTAACCACAGGCCACAGAATTTCACCCAGTTATCCCTGTATTGAACTCCAAAACTTGAGTTTGGCTAAAGCATATCTTCCAGAAAGGCATCCAGTCTTGATATGAAAACTTTAAGCAATGGAGAATCCACCATTCCCCTTGGTATTTTGTTCCAATGGTTAAATTTAGGTTATCAGTATGGCTTGTATAACCTGTTTTTTTTTTGTTTGTTTGTTTGTTTTAAAGGCCATATTGCTCCAACTAAATTGATACAGGTATTGTGGGTGTGTGGGAGTGCTAGATCCTTCTCACTGGATTCATTTAAGTGTGATGTAGCCAAAAATCAACAGCTGTTCCATATGGTAACACTATATGCAAATATGCATGTGTTATATTTTCTGATATACTTTCACATGGTACTGATTACTAACAACAAGGAAAATATCAAATCAGACCCAAAAGGAAACATTTTAGTCTCAGAATAGATTTCTGGGTTGCATGGACCATTCGATAATACAGCAAACCTTAATTAACCCACAGATCTGCATTGAAAATGGATTATTTGGGGAGGATGCAGTTTAATGAAGCACAGATCAATGACATTCTACTATTGTTTTCTGAGCTGCGCTACTCCGGGTGACGTCTTATTCCCTGCAATACAATGGAGAAGTCCCCCGGCACTCAGCAATGCACTGTAAGAGGGCCTGGGAAGTTCTAACTAGTCCATTGTGCTGGTGCTCCTTGCATTCCACAGCGTTAGCTATTCTGTAACCCTGTTCAGTCTGCACTGAGCCATAAGGCCAGATGAATGCTGTTCATACTAGATAGGCTTTGGCGTTACCAAATTACACTGGGAGGCCATGTCTGTGATGCTGTGTTTCTAAAATACAGAACAAAACAGGCAGAGCTAGAAGAATACTTCTCATTGCAGCCTGGCTATGAACTTCCTTTAATGTAAACATTAAAGCTCTTGGCGAACAGACCGCATTATCCCAAAGCCTTTGCAGTGCAAATGTCCGTCATTTTGCCTCTGCTTCCAATGTTTTGCTTTTCCAGATATATGGTTTTATGAAGTATTCTATTGTACTAAATAGGCAGTGATATTTGCCAATGCAAAACAGCGTAGATGTAAACCTGGAGAAGGCAAAATACTAGAGTAATTGTCTAAATGATAAGGATGAGAGATTTAATCAGCCTTTTCCCTGCTGGGGACAATTAGAATTTCAGGAAATAAAGTATATCATGGGAATTCAGCAGGATGTTTAAGTATTGCCAAAAATAAAGTATCTGCACCAAAGTATGCATTTGCTAATTTTTTGCTAAGTCCTTACTGGGGCAAACCCAGACTGAAGTCAATGGGTGTTTGCCTGAGAAAGGACTCAGTAAAAACTGATTAAGGACCTCAGGATCTGGCACTATTTGACTATTTTTTTGTCTACAAAATGTATAAGGAGGGCAGGAGCTGGCCTGAAAGAATTGCTGATGAATGTCTGTAGCATCTTACCTAGATCGTTATTTTTAGTGATAGCTGCAGCTACCCTGGTTCTTGGACCTTGCTTTGTGAACTGGTATCCGAATTTGAGAATTTTGGAGTTCTCCTCAAGCATCTGGGCAATCTCCATCTCTACAGCTGTCCCCAGCTGCTGCCTCTGTTGGGTGACACACAGTGAAAAGAAAAGGAAACATCTTCTCACAAAAGAGAGAGAAGTGGTTGTAATGTGCTACAAACTGGAGAAAGAACCCCATCTCTGGAGAACTTCCTCTGGGCTTTCTTTTTAGCATCGGTCAGTTTTCTTTTCTGTTGCTTAGCAGCATGTGCTTGGGAATGAGGTGCAAAAAGGCTGATCCATAGGATTTTGCCTTGCCTCTTTGATGGATCCCAAACCTAAAATATTATAGAAGAACATATGGAACCTACCTAGAAACTAAACAAAGCAGGCACCAGTTTACTGCCCACTCCTTACCTGGTTGTCAATTTTGATCTCCGTCAGGGTTTCATTCTCTTTTAGTGCATCAATCAGTGCCAGAATGCCGGCCCCAGTGATGAAATTGGATTCTATATTTAGGCTCTTCAGTGTCTTGTTCACTTTTAACATATCTGCAAAAGCCTGAAGAGTCAGGGAAGAGGTGGTGTGAGTTTGAAACTCTGAAAGCTTCAGATAACACCAAGAATCTGAATTGTGCATAGTACCTAGAAAAGCACTGCAAACAGAGTCATGGAGGTAGAGTGTATTCCTAGAACAGAACAGGTTATAATGCCACTGTGCACAGTCACAGGAGACATCTGAAAAACAAGCCCCACCTAGAGACAAATGCAGCCTTAGTGAACAATTCTGTCTTTTCAAGTCGTGTTTCAACTTACAACAGCAACAGGGTCATTGCTTCGAGTAGCTGCGAGGCTGAACTTCTTCACGTGGGTGTTGGTTTCCAAAGCCTTAGCAAATTCTTTCAGCGTCGGAATTGGGATGTTCTACAGTAAGACAAAACCCAGTAAACATTACATCCAACCACATCACCAGACATTTATTTTGATGATTGCTACATTAATTAACACTGCCTCTCTGTACAACTCCTTAGCCATTCCCCATGCTCTACAAAGCCCGTCAGGCCAGAGTACTGTAACTTGCTCAGCTTTGTGGCTGCCCTTGAAGACTGCTCAGCGCCTTGAGCTAGGGCAGAATGCAGCCACCACCTTTTAAGCAAGGCAGGCCAAAGCGAAAACACTGCTCTGCACTGTTTTTTATATTCATTTCTAGGTACAATGAAAGGTGGTTGTAAAGTCCTAAACAGTCTGAGAACTGATGATCCTCTAGGCATCTTTCTACCATGCACCATCCTGGAAATTAAGACTGGTGGCAATCTCTTGCTGTCTGTCTCCAGGGTTGAAATCCTGAAGGATGGCCATAATATTCTCATGGGCGGGCCCCCATCATCCGCATAGGCTCCCTCTTGCAATCTAACAAAGCCTGAGTTTGGCCCCATGGGATGGAGCGTAAAATACATCTGTTCAATCTGGCTTTTTAGCTGGGACATAAATTTGCTGCTGGCTGCGAGGAGGTCTATTGGTTGTGGATTTGTTACCCGCAGGTGAGAGTGAGTGGTGACCTGTGGCATAGTTTTGTGGTTGTATTGTTGGATCACTGGTATTGCTTATTTTTTTCAAATGTACACTCGTGCCCAGAAACCGTATAATGAGGGGTGAATAACCGATCCATAAACCCTTAGTACAACATGCAGTGTCAGCTTTGGGCATGAGCCTAAGTCTTGGTATGGAATTAGACACCTGGAGGTGAGATTGCTACCAAACAAGCTGTACTGATAAAAAGAAGGATACAATGAATCAACTCAACATGCTGGTCCTTTTAGAAAATTACTTAGTTTTAAAACAATATGAAACAAAAAAGGGAAAAAAATAACGAGCTACTATTTGTCACCACCTCTGAGCTCAAAGCAAACACTAAAAAGCTTTATCCTATTCCTAGATCCAACCAGCCACTCTGAACTGTGCAGACAAAGGCTACTGCTCCAGCTCAGTGTGGGGGCAATGTTCAGCATCTGAGCATCCCAACTTCTCCCTTTTCATCTGTGGGCTAAGTGAATTAGGCCAACAATTGTGCGGTACTCCCATAGGTGCTGGAACAAGGGGTGCTGCTGCACTTGCTGGCTTGAAGTGGTTTCCAACAGATACAGGGTTTACAGTTTGGTTCAATGACTCTCAGCACCCTCCCTATACAAACTGTGCCAGCACCCCTGCGTGCCCCAGGAGGTCTCTTGCTTTACCAGCTGTTAGAGAAATGAAGGCAGAAGGGAGCCCTTGCCTGGAGTTCTAATTGGCAGCTAATTCAATGTCAGGTGCTGGTGACCCTTGGAATAACTGGGACAATTCCTGTCTGCCTCTCTTTCTCTCCTGAGTCTCCTGTTCCTCCCAAATATTGTAAATGCAGCAACATGTTTGAAAACAAAACCCCATGCTTCTAAACAAAACTTTGTAAATCTTGTCATCTCAGATGAACCCTCCTGCAGCAAAGAGAATGAAGCCACAATCCCTATCCAAATACCTTTATGTTGTTCAGATTGACTTCAAGGAGGCTAGGATCGTTTGCTTTCATCCTTTGCAAACTTGCTTCCACATTGGTTGGATTAGGTGGTTCCTCGAAAATTGGCTTGACCTTTTCACCTTTGACGACATCTGAAACACAGGATCTAATTAAACATGCATCATCAGAAATAAACTGGCAAGTTGCAGTGGGGGAGGTTTAGATTGGATATTAGGAAAAACTTTTTCACTATGAGGGTGGCGAAACACTGGAATGCGTTACCTAGGGAGGTGGTAGAATCTCCTTCCTTAGAGGTTTTTAAGGTCAGGCTTGACAAAGCCCTGGCTGGGATGATTTAACTGGGAATTGGTCCTGCTTCGAGCAGGGGGTTGGACTAGATGACCTTCTGGGGTCCCTTCCAACCCTGATATTCTATGATTCTATGATTTTCTGAACTCTCACTTATTTTTGGGTTGAGACAAGCTGGATGTTTCTGTGACAAATCTCATGTTTGTGATGAATGCTTGTGAGCCGTCGAGCATTGGGAAGGAAGGGTTCTGGATTTCTGACTAGTGTTTCTCTGAGCTGCTGATGCTTTTGTGGCCAGTGAAGAATGGTATCATTCAGTTGGCTCTCCCACTGTTTGTTGTTAGTTTATGTAGCTATACGCAAGAAAGAAAGTGCAGATAAAGTGCAGAGATGAATAATTATTGAGATACACTTTAGAACACTTCTTTTCCTAGGTTGTGGGAAAGTAGTAGAAAATACTTTTCCCGGGGGGCAACTTTCTAGCAGACCTATTAACACAGCCAGATGAGGGTGACATGAAGTGTCTGGTATGACATTCACTGTGCTATATACACTAGAGTTAGTGTTATACACCAAACTGTGACCAGCACTGTCCTCTCCCCCATTCTTACATCTCTCTGCAGGGGCTGGCTACAATGAAGTTGGGAGCACAGGCTTTCTCTTTCCTGGTGCCTTGCAGTGCTCTTACAAAGGGTAGGAGCTAGGTAAGGGCATGGCCACATCTCACTCCCCTCTCCACACTGGCCAGCAGAGCTGGCTTGGCATGGAAGGAGGATAAACTGCACCTCCTCCAGGCATGGTGTAGATCGGGGTTGGCAAACTTTTTGGCCCGAGGACCACATTGGGGTTGCAAAACGGTATGGAAGGCCAGGTAAGGAAGGCTGTGCCTCCCCAAACAGCCTGGCCCTCACCCCCTATCCAACCCCCCCCCACTCTCTGTCCCCTGCTCCCTGTCCCCTGACCCCTATCCACACCCCGCCCCCGACAGGCCCCCCCACCCCATCCAACCCCCTGCCCCACTCCTTGTCCTCTGACCGCCCCCTCCCAGGACCCCCATCCCTAACTGCCCCCCAAGGACCCCACCCCCTATCCAACCTCCCCTGCTCCCTGTCCCCCCCTGGGATCCCCAGGACGCCACCCCCTATTCAATCCCCCCGCTCCCTGTCTCCTGACCGCCCCCCACACCCAAACCTCCACCCCATCCAACCACCCCCTGACTACTCCCCGGGACCTCCTGCCCCTTATCCAACCCCTCCTCCCCCTTACCATGCCGCTCAGAGCGGCAGGACAGGCTTATTGGAAAGCCTGGGAGGTGGGCGGGCACAAGCCACGCTGCCCGCGCAGCTGCGGAGGACGAGGGACAGCGGGGGAGAGGCAGGGAGCTAGCCTCCCCAGCCGGGAGCTCAGGGGCCGGGCAGGATAGTCTCGCAGGCCGGATGTGGCCCGCGGGCCATAGTTTGCCCACCTCTGGTGTAGGTGCGTCTGCCAGGGTGCTGCCAGGAGGAGACTCTGGCTGCAATGTATCCCCTTTGCAGTAGCTTTCAGCAAATCTAATGAACACCTATTTTCCTTGCAATTAAAACCAAACCCAAACTGTGCTCTTTGGGGTGGACCCTGCCTTTCCAGCAGATCTTTGCCATCTCCTGGAAGTTCTGGCCCCATCACCACAGAGGAGAGAGTATGGTAGGAAGTCTGCACCGGAGAACCTGCAGGCACGGTCAGGTTAGTTCCAGCCCCTGAGCATCTGTCCTTGGGAAGGGAAGCATGTTAACCTATGGTATGTGACCGGAGTCCTGAACTGTATCATTAGGGACAAATTCCGTCCTCAGCTTTATGTGCAAAGCTCCCAGTGCAGTCACTCTGAGCCAACCATGTGCATCCAGCTCTGAGGGAAGCATGAAGTCTATTGCACAGGATATAAAATACCAATACTGAAAGGAACCCAGGGTTTATGGTCCTGCCATAAAGCCTGCAAAGGGAGATGCGCTTGTGAAAATATTTGGATATGTTCTGAGAAAGAGCCCCTTTCCCTCTAAACAGACAGTGCTAACACCAAAGACTACGATGAGGAGGCCCCTTAGCCTCCACCTCCATCTCTGACATTAGCAGCCCCGCTATAAATTCAATTAGCTCTTGTAAAATTGCAACATCCGCACATTCTAAATAATAAAACTATCAAAGCATGAAAAGCAGTTCTCTGCCAACACAGAGATTTATGAAGTCTTTGCATATCCCTGCTCCAAAGCGATATGATTTTTAATGTTGGCAGTGTACTATAAAAGAAAATCGATCATTCCAGGAGATGCATAAAAATCCTAGCATACAGCACAATTAATACCTATAATTCCCCTGCTTATAATTGTGGAGATGAATAATAAACCTTGCCCACCCAAGCTGCTACAGTCAAGAAAGGAATGTGTTACTGACCACAACTGTGTTTAAACATGGTTATTTTGTAGTGCAAAAAGTCATGTTCTATTCAAGGGGCTTGTGCTGAAACCTGAAAGTTTACATGCATTTCCATGAGGTGCAATGGGTGACACTTACCCTGTGCACTGGGCTAGGAAAAAGCCAATACACCAATTAAATCACACCTAAGCTCTTTGTAGAACTTAATTGTTACATAAGTCTTGAGCTGGATTTCACTATTTGAGCAGATTCCAACTCCTTTTGCTGTGGAGCATGTCCCAGTCCACTCCCCACAGGACCTCCCAATGCCTCCATAAATACTCCAGTAGCAGCCTTCAGAGAGTTACTAATGTTGTTGGAGATTGCTAATAAAATGCACTTGGAGAATTCACCACCTTTTGGATTCAAAGTAAAAATTACACCAAAATGTTTTTGCATTTGTAGCAGTATTGACTAAGCTGAGAGCCAAGGCCCAGCCATTGAAGGACTATTTGTTAGAGATTGTAACCCTGTCCACAGAGTAGACTTTCTACTTTACCATGTCATGAGTAGTTAGCAGTGATTTTCTCCTCCTGTTGTGCTGCCTGCCACTGCCCATGAATTTTATCTTATTTCTTTAACTAGGGAACTGTTTTGTCATGTTAATAATCAGCTCTTGAAATGTGTTCCCCTTTTTTACTGAAAAATTACACTAAGCTAGGAAAAGTTATTGCTTTTGGACAAAGGAACAAAGTGATCTGACAGAGCAACTTTGTGATTGGAGTATAGTTTACCAAACCCACACAGTTGACATTTTGACTCAGTACAACAAAAATAATCTCAAGTTTATGTGAATTAGTACCATAAGCAGTTGCATGTTCTGGGATAGCCTGCAATTTGAACAGATTCCCACTGGGAAGGGTTGCAGAGATATCTCAGTCCTGTTCTGCCTACCTCCATGCCCTCCTCTTGGGTGATCTCTTCACACAGATAAGGGAGGAGATGAAAAGTCTCTGCTGACAACAACTGCTATTGTCACAGCCCATACAAGAAGGGATGCTTCTTGTGTGGCTACCTTTTCCTGTGTACTCAGGCAAGGGCCCATCACAATCTAGTATTGAAATGCACAGAAGGATGCAGGATTGGAACCTTGGATCTGAACATCTGTGAACTCAGGATGTGCAAAGGCTTTGGATCCAAACTTTGCAGCTACTCCTTAGGGTTGGCATCTGCACAGTTACTGAGAAATGACCAAATGAGCCAAACCCTTGGAGCAAAGAACTCCAAACATTAGGGGAAGTTCAGATCTTGATCTAAACTCTGCAGCTCAGGATCATCTCTGATGAAAAGCAATTAATAAGATTTGAATACTGTTTAGTTTTTTTAATAATTATGACTGTTATTATTTTTCTGAGTGCTTACACCTCCTGTAGAATGTACTTAACCCCACAAAGAACACACAACAGTCAAATAATAGGATCATTTAAACTGTGCGGGGTATTATTTTGCAAGTCCAACAAAAAAGCACAAGTGACAGATCAGATGCAATAATAGGGAAAGCATTATTTTCAAGTACCCTCCTCACAGTGCTGAATGCAGCTTGGTGGACCTGACATATTGTGAACTGTGCTAGAAACACATCAAGCATCAGGTTGTACTAACCTGGAATTGTCTCAGCTAGGGATGCTACCCAGTTAGTGGCCCACAGCTGTAATGATATGCAAATCATAGAATATCAGGGTTGGAAGCGACCTCAGGAGGTCATCTAGTCCAGTGGTTCTCAAAGCCAGTCCGCCACTTGTTCAGGGAAAGCCCCTGGTGGGCCAGACCGGTTTGTTTACCTGCCGCATCCGCAGGTTCGGCCAATCGCGGCTCCCAGTGGCCACGGTTCGCTGCTCCAGGCCAATGGGGGCTGCAGGACGGGCGGCCAGCATGTCCCTTGGCCTGCGTTGCTTCCCGCAGCCCCCATTGGCCTGGAGCGGCGAACCGCGGCCACTGAGAGCCGCGATCGGCCGAACCTGCGGACGCGGCAGGTAAACAAACCGGTCCAGCCTGCCAGGGGCTTTCCCTGAACAAGCGGCGGACTGGCTTTGAGAACCACTGATCTAGTCCAACCCCCTGCTCAAAGCAGGACCATTCCCCAACTAAATCATCCCAGTCAGGGCTTTATCAAGCCTGACCTCAAAAACCTCAAAGGAAGGAGAGTCCACCACCTCCTGGGTAATGCTTTCCAGTGCTTCACCACCCTCCTAGTGAAAAAGATTTTCCTAATATCCAACCTAAACTTCCCCCACTGCAACTTGGGACCATTACTCCTTTTTCTGTCATCAGCTACCACTGAGAACAGTCTAGATCCATTCTCTTTGGAACCCCCTTTCAGGTAGTTGAAAGCAGCTATCAAATCCCCCCTCACTCTTCTCTTCTGCAGACTAAACAATCCCAGTTCCCTCAGCCTCTCCTCATAAGTCATGTGTTCCAGTCCCCTAATCATTTTTGTTGCCCTCCGCTTTCCATTTTTTCCACATCCTTCTTGTAGTGTGGGACCCAAAACTGGACACAGTACTCCAGATGAGGCCTCACCAATGTCGAACAGAGGGGAACGATCGAGTCCCTCGATCTGCTGGCAATGCCCCTACTTATACAGCCCAAAATGCCGTTAGCCTTCTTGGCAACAAGGGCACACTGTTGACTCATATCCAGCTTCTCGTCCACTGTAACCCCTAGGTCCTTTTCTGCAGAACTGCTGCCTATCTATTCGGTCCCTAGTCTGTAGCCATGCATGGGATTCTTCTATCCTAAGTGCAGGACTCTGCAGTTGTCCTTGTTGAACCTCATCAGATTTCTTTTGGCCCAATCCTCTAATTTGTCTAGGTCCCTCTGTCTCCTATCCCTACCCTCCAGCGTATCTACCACTCCTCCCAGTTTAGTGTCATCTGCAAACTTGCTGAGGGTGCAATCCATGCCATCCTCCAGATCATTAATGAAGATATTGAACAAAACCGGCCCCAGGACCGACCCTGTGATGTGTGTATGTACAGTGTGATGTGTGTATGTACTGTGATTGGATGAGATGGTCTGACTTGCATAATGATCACATGGTCATTTCTCAGTAACTGTGCAGATGCCAGTGCTCTACTTACTGTCTTTGGAGCTCCACATCCATATGCACATGGATGCATGGAAACATAGATGCCTTTGCTTCCCATTGCACTCCCACACTTATGATCCTGTGCACTCCCAATCCTCTCTGCCACCACTATCTAGCAAGCCTTGCTTCTGAGGAAAGCTGAGCTCCCTGCTAGAGTGATTTATTTGTGTAACACACTATTGATAGTACGAATTTTTAATTTAAATTATATTCATTTAAGAGCTCCTCCTCATGATTAATGAGGGTTAATGAAGGATTGGTCCAGTGATACTATACTGATTAGACTAACAACCCCCAACTAACTATATAACTACCTAAGAATACAAGCAGACTGCAAAGGAAATCTGTTTACTTACTTCTCACACTTCCTTTTCCATCTTTACTGCTGGTTCCTTCTTCATCAAACTGTGGATTGTTGACCATGTTGTGCACCCCAAGAACAGCTATAAACATAAAAATGCCAGTAGTAAAATCCAATGTTAATAAAGTTTGCAAAGGAAACATGCATTTTACAAATTCCAATTTAGTTCCCTATCTAGATTATCAATCAGAGTGTTGTTATTGTCTTGGGTCATATGTGTTCATAGGTGAGGCTTGGTTAACCTCTAATACTGTAAGTTGAAAGTTTGGAGAACTTGACTATAGGTTCTTTCCTACAAATGCACCAGTGGAGCATGCATATTATCTGTCTATATCCTGGTACACTTACATTCAGACATGAACATTGTAACCATCTTGGGATTTCTGTGGGTGCTAAAGTATGGGGCAGGGGGAAGAAAACATTTAAACATAATGGAAGACACCGCAATAAGGATTTATATGAGAACTAGAAATAGGCTGAAGAAAGAAACCAGACTTCAATAAAAGAGGCAGCAAATAAAAATTATCTTAGTACAGAGGCAGTTTCCACAGTATTCTATCAGAAACAACATAACGGTTAGGTATCTGATCCTTCTCCTCGGATTAGTTGCCTGCTTGGACCTGAGGGATCCTTTCACAGGTATCTATGAATCAAGAATGCATGACTCACTGTGGCTTTTTAACTCTACAATCAGATTTTCCTTACACAGACACTGAAGAGAGTGACTGTCTTCAGATAATATCACTTGTGACTATTACACTGCCATTGTGGGCTATTTGCAGCCCTCTGTTTAGTAGGGCCATTATACAATCATATCTTAGTCTTTATTTGTGCTATATGTTCTAATACAGTGAGTTGGGTACTGACTACAGCTGAGCAGAAACTGGAATTTCCATCCCAGGTCAAATTCTGATATTTCTACATTTGTTTTGGCTGAATTATGTACCGCAGTCATACAGCTCCCATGATTCACCACAGGGTTTGGTCAGAGGAGAGACTGCAGTGCATCATGGGAGACGTAGTCTGGCAAAGGAGCTCTGCACACAGGAGAGAATGGGGGCATGCAGCATCTGAACTACAACTCCTCTGTGGCAATGCACCACCTTAGGCAGATGTCGTTTAACGTTGAACGGAGTCAAAACAAAATGTTTTAACTCAGTTCAACAAACTGAAATATTTTTAGATTTTCCCAATGAAAAATTGAAAAAAAAAAATCAGTAAAGTTGAAATTTTCCATGGAAAATTGTATTTCTCTGAAAACTGAACTTTCTGTTTAAAAACAAAAAAAATTCAATGGAAAATTCCCAACCAGCTCTAGTATTGACCATTGTAAAACACAAACAAAAAACCTAATGTAGAGCCGCATTTTATTCTTCGTCTTTTCATTCACACCACTGGTAACGGTGTGTGAAATGAGGGTTGAATATGGACCAGAAATTTTGTAGATAGCATATTTTGTGTGAGATGCACATTGGGTGTAGCTGGACAGGGTTCTGGTTGTTTGAAAGATGTTTGTGGATACACAACATTGTGTCTTTTTTGCAAAATAGTGAAAACAGTTGCAAATGCTCTGAATGATATTGAAGGCCCAATTCTAGAAGGTGCTGAGCACCTCCAATGATACAGTGGGAATTAAATGCAATTGGAGTGAAAAGATACTCAGGGCATATCTACTCTTCGAGCTGGGGGTGTGAGTCTCAGCTTGAGGAGACATACTGATGCTAACTCTCATCAAGCTAGCGTGCTAAAAACAGAATGTAACAGCAGCAGCATGAGCAGCTAACCACCTTGAGAATGTCCCTAGGGTCTTGGGTGGGTCCGTACTTGGGGCACTTACCCCTCCTGCCACCCATGCTGAGGCATCTACACTCAATTTTTAGCATGCTAGCTCGATGATAACTAGCACGTGTCTCCTCAAGCTGCGAATCACACCCCCACTCGAAGTGCATGCAGCTAAGTGCATTAGAACGATGCAGGCTTGAGCCCATACTAACACTTATGCACCAGTGTTTGCTCCACATTTCTAACATCTGTGCACATTTTAGAGGCCTAGATTCCATAATGGCTTAAAAATAGGGTGAGTGATAGAGAGGCTGAAGATAACCCGGTCTAACCAGAGTAAGAATAGAGCATGCAGTGACAACTCAAACTCCTGGTGGAAGAGGCAGGCAGTACTGGACTGAAGAAGATTTTACACTTACAAACACATTAACTAACCTGCAAGGTCATAGAGCTCAGTATCAGAGGCACCAGCCAGGGCTTCTTCTAATTCTGGCTCCAGGGTTACCTTCTCCTCAGTGTGGGTTTCTATGGGCTTTTCTTTAGGGATAAATATTTTTCCTAAGGAGGGAAAAAAATCCAAAAGTGAATACTGAATTACTGTGACAACTCCTCCCCATCCTGACAGTACAGGGAGGAAACCTGTGTAAATAGTATTGTTCTCTATTGTGTACCAATGTATGTTTCCCTATTAATTTCTACACCTTCAGCACATTTCTACTATAGGTTGGGGTAGTTTATTTTTGTGGAGGCCAAGGTCCTAAAATCTATACTTTAGCTTTGGAATTTCCTGTGCCCAGTGGCACATAAGATAACCCATTTTTTCCACTAGTGTCTGTCTAGAGCAAGATATTTGACTCCATGGTAAGCTGTCTGCATGATGGTCACATTCTTTTTGATCATCCTGCAGTAAGATATTCTTTGTCCTCCATCCCTTTTCTTCCCTCCAGGGGGGATCCAATCTAAGGTATAGCTTGTGCTTCTGATGGCACAGCCAAACCACTGTAGTTGTCTCTGTCTGATTATTGAGTCTGCAGTCTGCTGACCTATGCAACACAACACTTCCACATTGGTTAGATGATCTCACCAATGAATCCCCAAGATTATTCTTAAACAACACTGGTGGAATGCAGTCAGTTCCTGTTATGTACTTCCACCATCTGCTACATTTCTGAGGCAACAGTAGTGCTGGGAGGACAATAGCATTGTACAATCTCATTTTAGTGTGTAGATTTATCTTCTTACTCTTCCAGCTGTTTGACAAACTGGAAAAATATCCACTGGCTTTGTTGGTTCTTGCCCTCATTTCTTTAGTGAGCTGACCATTAGCAGATATTGTACCTCCAAAAAAGATGAAGTCATCAACTCTTTTAAACTCTTCTCCATCAGTCACTCATTTGACAGGGCTGACAGCATTCTCTCCTGCCTTCATGATCGTGGTCTTCTGTGTACTGATACAAAGTCCCACTTTGACCACTTCTGCTTTTATGCTCAAAAAGAGTCTTTTCATTCCATCCAAGTTGGGAACCAATATTATATCATCTGCAAAATCTAAGTCTCGCATATTATCTCTTGTCCAAACAATATCAATGTTCTCAGCAGCAGCCATCACTGTTCTCATCACAGTCTATAACAATGCACAAGAGTAGTAGGGATAGTATGCAACCTTGCCTTATGCCAGTAACAACCTTAAACTGATAGATTTGAAAAGTTAAAGCCACAGACTGATGACATTGAAGAACAATGGCAGTTTTTCAAAGAAGCAAGTGTTGATGCAGCCAGGACTACAGTGGGGGCGAAAAGCTGTAAGAAAGAAGAATGGCTCCAACCAATCCCTGGTGGTTTGTTGAAGAGAGGGAAGAATTAAAGAGAATTCAACAAGCACATGACCACAACAAAAGAGTTATTCTGCAACAAGAATATGCAGACAAAGACAAGAAAGTTAAAATATCAGCCAGAGGAGAGAATGGATGGAAAATAAAGTAAAAGAAGCTGAGGAGGCATATAAGAAAGATAATTCTAAAAACCTTTTTCTAGTATCTAAACAATTGACATCACAATTCTTGAACTGTTGTGGCATTGTGAAGGCTTGAGATGGTACAATTTTAACTAGAATAAGAAGAGAGAGCCCATTGGATGCAACATTTCCAGGTTATGCTTAACCAGTCAGAACCACTAACACTCATTGAGAGATGTGATGAAACAGTGGACTTACCTGTATCACTAAAAGCAATCACCTTTAAGGAAGTAACTAAGGTTATAAGGCAACTGAACAGTTAGAAAGCACCAAGCTTAAGATAGATGCTGAAATGTGGTGGAGGATTCCATGTGCAGGTTGGACAGAATGGTTCAGGAAAGGAGATCCAGCCTAAAGATTGCAGAAGTGTTATCTGCAACATCCCTAAAAGGGGATCCATTTATTTATGATAACTAGAGAGGGGTGTCAGGGAACAGATCAGCTAGGACCAGCTTCTGGCCTGCTCCCTGACTAACTTTGCTGCTAGGCAACCAATAAGCCCAGCTACAATGCCTTGGAACTGACAGAGCCCCTGATTGGCTGCTGGTTTAGCTTATAATACTGGCCCCCACAGCAAGTCCGCAGCTTCTCAATGTCTACCGTGCCTGCAGCTGTACTTGTTCTTGGTCCAGTCCCTGATCCTGCTTTCTTTCAACCCTTGTTCCAACCCTGTTCCAGCCTGCTTCCAGCCCCTGCTCCCCTCTGGCTTCAGACTTCCGGCTTTGATCCCCGACTCCACCTATGGCTTATGGCTCTGGTTTACCCTCTGGCTCTGGCATTTGGTTTCTGCCTTCTGGTACTGACCCTTGGCCTGTTTTCTGGACACTATCCATCCTGGACCCAGCTCTAACTAGTAGGCTGAACTCTTGCTTCCATCAGTAGGCATGACCACCCATGGCCCAGTCAGCTACAAGAGGTGACACTTCTATTTGTACCTGGAAAAGTGTTTTGCATTATCATTTTGAATAGGATAAAAACTGCTATTGATAAAATTGATACCCTGCAGTGTCAGTGGTTGGGATTTTCAAGCACTCACCATTGGGCATTTACTTCTATGGGTCTAGAACCAGGCCAGTGCTGAGTGCTAATCCCAGGGATATGTGGGTCTGTTTAAGAACTGTGCTTTCTGAGGAACTGAAGGCAATTCAAAAAATCCCTCTGCAGGAACCTTCCACTCAACAGAAGCCTGTTCAAGGGCACATAAATTGTGAAATCATTCTTAGGGACTGCACTACCTCCGTCAGTAGCCCTGTGGATTTCTTATTTAATCCAGCACTCTGTGATATTCATTGTAAAAGACACTTCCCAAGGCCCATATGCTGATCCCAGGACCACAGGGCATAAAACCAGGAGTGAAGCAGATGTATTTGCTACTTCTCCCCATAAGCTATGGCCACTATTTGAGCTTATCACATAGGTACCGGGGGAAGGAGGATTCAATTCCCCAACTGCCTCTGTGTAATTTCCAACTTTCCCAAAGGCATTCTGCCCCTTCTGTCTCATCAGCCAATCATATGATCAGTCTTCCCATGATCACCTGCGCAAGGCTGGGGAAGCTGAGCTGGATTTAACCCCATGTTCCCCAAGGACCAAGTAGTTTCCCTGCCACAGACCCTTGTACAACCTATCCTAGACCCTTTCAATTCTTCCCCCACTGTATACTGCTCTAATATAGGCATTAGCAGGTGTTTCCATGTAGCATTTCTCAAAGGCCAAGACCATCAATCTCTATGGTACTTCCAGTCTATGACAGCTGCATCAGAGGAAAATCTAGGTCACTTTCATAAGGAACTGGGCAACATTAAAAGCCAAGCCACTATCTTATGTTGTAGTCACTACTATACTCATTTAAATTTTGAAAACAGACTACTGTCATTCGTAAGCAGTGGAGTAACTGAACTGAATAATACCATCGATCTGATAAATCAGTGATTCCCAATTTGTTACTGTCCATAATGCTTTTAGACTCATTTAGAAGAAATACGGCTGAACAGGTCCCTTTGTGCCTTAGCCCAAAACAACTAAATGTATATCAGGCTTTAGATAATCCCTTTGTACTGAGACTGCAATGACCTTTGGGTAGAGGTGGATTTGGTCCATTGTCAGTTCTAAATTGTCTTATTTTCTGCAAGTTTTGACACTTGCAGAAATGCTTGGAGTATATCCTGGCCCTTTCTGACACTGCTCCGAAAGAGCTTAATTTTCATTTGTCTCAGTGATGCCATTTTGTCACCATAAATGAATGTTCTTCTGATATTGCTCCTTTCAATTACACATTGCTGTGCCTTTCGCTTTTCAATAGCTGCATGCTTCTATGGCTTAAATCTTTTTCCATGATGGTCCTGATTGGCATTTTTAGGCAGATAATACCCAGATTAATGTATCTCTTCCAGCAAGTCTGCCTGCTCCAATCTCAGGCCTGTCAGCCTCTATCAATGAGTTTAAAGACTGAATGGGCTCAGAAACTCTTGAAATGAATATTGAGGACATCCTGTCAAGTTTACTTCTCTTCTTGCCCACAAACACTTCCATTCTTTAAAGGCATCTTCTTATTACAAAAAATCTCTATTCTACAAGATGAATTGCTTAAAATGCCAGCTGACAAGTGACTGATAAAATAATACTTTGTGTTTCTGTTGCACATTCTACACAAGAATCTCAGAGTCCTTTATAGGCATAAATGTATTTCACCCACAGTACATCCCTGTGAGATAGGTTAAGTCGCCTCATTTTACAGATGACATGATTCAGGGACATCCCAGCAATATCAAAGAAAACAGTCAAGTGCAAGTTTTGTGTGCAAAGTACTTGCAGCAAGAAATTCTTAACTCTCTTTCCAAATGAAGGCAGGTTACATTTGTCAGGCTATCCACAACTCAGAACTGTGCTGATAGATGTGATTTGTAGATATTATGCTGAAGAAAAAGCAAATGCTCCTAGCCACACCATAAGATTTAAATCTCCCTAGGCTATAGCTGATCAGACTTAGTGTCTGGTTGTCATCATGCACCCATCTGCCTTCAATCATCTATGCACCAGGATGACCTAGAAAGAGCAAACCCACATTTTTCAATGGTAGAGGACCAAAAGTAATCAAAATATCTAAGTAAACTATCAGTAGAGTGGGCCATTGGCTGTAGAGTATTCTTCCTTAAAGAAACCTGATAGCCACTTAAGCCCATTGACGTTAGGTAGACTAAAGACCTTGAGGGGACCTGACTTGTCTTCATCCATGATGGTGATACCAGTAGGCTACTGACCTTGAACTGAGCAGCATGAACTAGCCAGGCAATGCCCTAAACTCCAGAAATGAAATCACAAACAAGGACAGCAGGGCTGACAAATGTTGACAATATTGTCTATATCTTCTTGCCTGGTCTCCTCATATCCCTCATCAGAGGGACTAGAGAGCCCTAGACCTCAGAAATAACTGTCCCAGTTGTCCGGCTGCATAGTTCCTAGCAAACTGTTCAACCTCTCAGCCACCTTCCAATAGCATAAAGAGGAATCATTGCCATAACTAAGTTCAACAATAAGGACCTAA